GCCTACAGCAGGCCGTATCCGATTAATGTCCCCTAGTAGTTTTTGAAAGTCATTCAGTGTTTTCTTTTTTTTTTTTTTTGAGACGGAGTCTCGCTCTGTCGCCCAGGCTGGAGTGCAGTGGCCGGATCTCAGCTCACTGCAAGCTCCGCCTCCCGGGTTCACGCCATTCTCCTGCCTCAGCCTCCCGAGTAGCTGGGACTATAGGCGCCCGCCACCTCGCCCGGCTAGTTTTTTGTATTTTTTAGTAGAGACAGGGTTTCACCATGTTAGCCAGGATGGTCTCGATCTCCTGACCTCATGATCTGCCCGTCTCGGCCTCCCAAAGTGCTGGGATTACAGGCGTGAGCCACCGCGCCCAGCCTCAGTGTTTTCAATTGATCCCTATGTGTGGTTACTTTCTGTGGCACAATAGTAGTGTCATTTACTAAGGTCCCCAAGTAGGAGTAAGGAGTAGTAGTCTGAATTTTGTCAGGAGCTGTAATTAAACCAGCATGAGACATCGAGTTTTGCAAGTGATTATAACATTAGAGTAATATTTCTCGAGTGGGGGCAGCACAAAGAATATCATTTATATAATGAATAATGTAACAATTTACGAGTAGGTTCAATTGCTTGTCCTACGTAAGTCTGACAAATTGTTGGACTGTTTAACATGCCTTGTGGCAACACTTTTCAATGAAAACGCTTAAAAGGCTGCAGGTTGTTGACCGCAGGAATCGAAAATGCAAACCATTCAGAGTCTTGCTCAGCTAAGGGGATAGTAAAGAAACAGTCTTTTAAATCTATGACTATTAAAGGCCAATTTTTTGGAATCGTAGCAGGAGAAGGCAGTCCTGGCTGTAATGCCCCGATAGGTTGTATAACTGAATTAATGGCTCTAAGATCTGTCAACAATCTCCATTTACCTGATTTAATAACAAAGACTGGAGAATTCCAGGGGGAAAATGTTGGAGCTCTGTGTCCTTTTTCTAATTGTTCAGTAACTAAGTTCTCTAAAGCCTCCAGTTTCTCTTTACTCAGTGGCCATTGTTCTATCCAAATTGGCTTATCTGTTAACCATTTTAAAGGTATAGGTTCTGGAGGCTTAGCAATGGCTGCCATCAAAAATGGTATCCTAAGCCTTGGCGGGAACTTTTTCTTTCCATTTTAAGCAGTTCCTTCAAATCTTGCAAATTTTTTCCTAGTCCCATACCAAGGACATACCGTATTTCATGCATCATATGTTGACTTGAGGGCTCTATAATTGTTCTGGAATTAACACTTGTGCTCCCCATTGTTGTAATAAATCTTCTACCATAAATTTATAGGTACAGAAGCTGTAATTGGTTAAATAGTCCCAGGTTGTCCATCAGGCCCTTCACAATGCAAAATGTAACTACTTTGATATACTTCAGGGGCTTTACCAACTCCAACTATGTTAAATTGAGTGGATTGAATTGGCCACACAGACAGCCAGTGCTGTAGAGAAATGATTGAAATGTCCACTCCTGTATCTACCAATCCTTTAAATTTTTTTCCTTGAATGGTTATTTCACAGGTAGGATGCTTATTGGTAATTTGATTCACCCAATAAGCTGCTTTGCCTTGTTTATTTGTGCTTCCAAATCCTCCTGTTCGTTTAGTTTCTGCTTTCCCTATTTCCATATGTGGCACAGTCAGGAGCTGTGCTATATGCTCTCCTGGCTCTGCTTTCCAGGGAACAGAAGTAGATATAACAATTTGAATTTCCCCCTTATAATCTGAATCAATGACTCCTGTTTGTACCTGTACCTAGAAGTAATCCTACTGTCCCCCCTGGCAAGGGTCCACAGACTCCTGTTGGCCCCTATTGTGGGAGTTCCCCAGGCAGAAGGCTCACAGCTTTTGTGCAGCATAAATCTACTGCGGCACTACCTGCTGGTGAGGGAGTGGCCTGAGCTGGAAATGCCCCAGTTTGGAATGGGGCCCAGGATGGGCCCCCATAGCATTTCCTGAAATCGGGTTCACATCTTTATCAAACTTAGAGTGACACTGATTAGCCCAGTGTTTTCCTTTTTTGCATTTTGGACATATTCCAGGCTCAGCAGTTTTCTTTTTACCCCCAACTGGCGGCCTGACTTACTGATTTTTTTGACCTTCTTATGACCGTGTTTCCCACAGTTAAAACAAGCTCCAGGAAACGAAGTATTTCCTTTACCTACTGTCAGTCCTGCAATTGCCTGGGCTAGCAGAATAGCTTTATGCAGATTACCTCCGATACCATCACAAGCTTTAATATACTCAACCAAATGTGCTTTTCCTCTAATAGGTCACAGAGCAGCTTGGCACTCAGGATTGGCATTGTCAAAAACTAATAACTGCAACACTGTATCCTGAGCAGCCGAATCCGCAATCACCTTTTTAAGAGATTCCTGTAATTGAGCTGTAAAATCTGCATAAGATTCTTTCAGTCCCTGTTTGACAGCACTAAAGGAAGGATATTGTTCTCCTCCTGAAGTGATTTTTTTCCCAAGCTCTAATGCACACTCCTCTAAGCTGCTCTATAGCATCATCCTGCATGACCACTTGTGCACCTGAACCAGCCCAGCCGCTGACCCCCAAACTTGGTCTGCAGTTATATTAATTTGAGGTTGGGCCTGGGCATTGCGAGCAACCTGGATGGAAGTTTCATCTGCCCACGAAGTTTTAAATTTTAAGAACTGAGCAGGAGTCAGACAAGCTCGAGTAAGAGCGTCCCAGTCAGTAGGAATCATCCGACTGGAGACAACAACATTCTTTAACAGTCCCGTTACAAAAGGAGAACCTGGTCCATATTGATTAATAGCTTGTTTAAATTCTTTGAGTAATTTCAAAGGAAAAGGCTCAAATATAGCCATAATGTTCCCCTGTTGATCATCTGGGTGTAATCTAACAGGGAACTGCCAAGCATCCATATAACCCTCTCATCTTGCTTGCTGAATTCCTGCCTGAGAGCAGTCGCTCGAGGCGCTGCTTGGACAGTCACTGGGACAACAACTTTTCACCCAGTGTCCTCCAGAAAAGAAAGATCCAGAGGGTCAGGCCACTCTTTTTCTTCAAAATAATGAGGGGGTGTAGAGGGGTAGGGACAAACCTCTCCCTCCTTTGCCACTTTAGCTGGCAAACAAACCTGCTTTGTCATCTCTTCTGTTACTTCGTTGTACTCTCCTTCTTCCTCTGATTCCTCCTCATCATCATCTGTGTGGAAAGGCTGCAAGGTGGAACGAACCAGAGCCCACACTGACCAGACAGTTATAGGAATATCCTCAGCACCATCCTTATATGCCTTTTTCAGTGTGCTGCCTACCTTTTCCCAGACCTCTACATTCATAGTCCCTCGGTCCAGAAACCAGGGACAATATTTCTCTACTGCACTAAAAAGCTGCATAAGTTGGCTAGTGCTAACCTTCACTCCCTGTTTTCTGAGGAGCTGCCGAAGCAGACTCAAATAAGCCTTGTGCCTGCTCGACCCTTGTCCCATTGTTACCCTGATGCTTCTGAGCTCCCCTTCTTACTTACCATAGGGATTGCTTAAGAGTACTTGGGTGTCCCCCAGCATAGTTCCATGTTCTCCAACCATTGCTCCGGCGACCCTTCGACCTGGGTTCGAGCCCCATGTTGGGTGCCACCTACCAAGACCAGCTCGGTCGTGGAGACCCCAACCCAGCGGCACTAGAGGAATGAAGACAAAGACCCAGAAATAAAGTGCAGTGTTGAATCGGCTAACAGCCTTGAGAGCTGAGAGCCACAAACAGAGTTTTACCCGCATATTTATTGACAGTAAGCTTGCGATAAACATGTTTCTATAGATTATAGATTAGCTAAAAGCATTCCTTATGGGAAACAAAGCATTCTTAGCGAGGAGCAGAGAAACAGGCTCTGGCTGATTATCTGCAGCAGGAACATGTCCTTAAGGCACAGATCGCTCATGCCATCGTTTGTGGTTTAGGAATGCCTTGAGCAGTTTTCCGCCCTGGGTGGGCCAGGTGTTCCTTGCTCTTATTTCGGTAAACCAGCAACCTCCAGCATGAGTGTGATAGACATCATGAGCATGTCACATTGCTGCAGAAATCCTATTTATGGCCAGTTTCTTTAAGGCCTTTTTATGACAGGCTTAGGGCCTGTTCCCAGAACCCACTAGATTTAGACAACCACTGATCTCCTTTACTCTGTATGGATTAATTTATACCTTCTAGTCTATTCCTATATAAGTTATAATTGTGTACATATCAATAGTTCATATTTTTTCTTGCTCTGTAGTATGGTATCACATATATGCACCACAATTTATCTGTTCACTTGTTTAGGGACACTGGGTTGACTCCAGTTAATTATTACAAATAAGTCTGCTATGAATATTTGTGTACAAATCTTTCTATGGACTTAAACTTTCATTTCTCTTGGCTGGATACTTAGGAATTGTATGGCTAGATCACATGGTTATCTAATAGAGTCTTGGTGTGGATTCTGAGCCTGGTTTTTTCTTTTTAAACACATAGTTAAAAGGGTTGGATTTTATCAGATCAGCTCTTTGCACTAGAATCTTCTAGGAGTGAGGAGGGTGGGGAGAGGGTTCCAGTCAAACTTCCAAAGCCTGTAGTCCAAGGACTTCCTGGTCTGTTGTGATAGTAGAGACACTCTCTCCTCCAAGGCAGCATCTCTGGGTAGCTGCCCCTCTTCTACCTCTCCAAACCTATGGGGCTTGAAAGGGATTTTATAATCCAACCCTGCACTCCCCCAGGGTGAGCCTTTCTTATCTAGAAGGTTTCTTTAGAAGGTGCTGTCTGAGAATTGCCACCTCTGGGCCACTCTGGGCAATTTGCCTGTCTTCTCTTTCCATCTTTGCAGCCCTTGTGCCTGTTCAATCAACAGTTCCCACTTGGGGTTGGGGAAGGCTCTCCTTCATCTGGACATTTCCAGAGTCATCTATCACAGGGTTTCTCCTGCTTTGCAACAGTCTGCCTGCCCTGAGGCTCTGGCCTAACTCTCTGTTGTTCTTGCAGGACTCAGGGCGGTGTTCATGTGCACAAGGATGGGCTGACGGTCACTTCTCCAGTGCTAATGTGGGTCCAGGTAAGCGCAGGGATTCCTGTTCTCCTTCTGTCCCCAGCCTGTCTCACTGGCAGACTCGTTGATTTGCTAGGAAGTCCAAAGGTGGCAGCCAATGAGAGCATCTGTTGAGACCAGGTCCTCATGGGAAAGTGGAGTTGGCATGGCTCCTGGGACCAGGCCCAGCCTCAGCTGGTGTCAACACTCCCAGGCTCAGAACTTCCAGGTACTGGAGCCACAGTAGATGGCAAGTCCTGCCATTAACCATCTTTAAAATACCACAGAGCAAATCTTTTCCAAACATCTGCAGTCAGGCCCTGTGGCCTCCCTTGTACCATGAAATACAAACATAGGCTGGGCGTGGTGGCTCACATCTGTAATCCCAGCACTTTGGGAGACCGAGGCAGGTGGATCACCTGAAGCCAGGAGTTCGAGACCAGCTTGGCCAACATGGTGAAACCCCGTCTCTACTAAAAATACAAAAGTTAAGCCGGGCATGGTGGCACATGTCTGTAATCCCTGCTACTCAGGAGGCTGAGACAGGAGAATCACTTGAACCTGGGAGGTAGAGGTTGCAGTGAGCTAAGATTGCACCATTGCACTCCAGCCTGGATAACAAGAGTGAAACTCCATCTCAAAAAAAAAGAAAAAGAAAAAAAGAAATACAAACATAGCCCTTAGGGTCTAGTGCTCAGCCTCCAAGATCCCTTAGCTCCCTAAGCATTCAGAATGGCAAGTTATGGCCTGGCCAGTCAGACTCATATCAGTCCCAAGCAAGGCCTGCCTCTGAGCATCAACAGGAAAGGAGAATGCCTGTAGCAGGATCTGGTGACCTAGGGGGCCACAGGAGCAGGGATGTGGAAAGCACAGAGAGGCATGGTAGCACCAGGGGCTACTTCATCATATGCTACAGGGTCCCCAAGTCCCTGAAACTGGAGGCCAATTAAGTGTGTGTCTTCCAAAAGCTTTTTTCTGTCCTCCAATACCTATCTAACCAGTTTCCTATATTAAATTCTTTTTGTTAAAAATAACTAGTATGATTTCTTTTTTATTGGTGTAACCCTGATTCATACACTGAAGAACTGGGGTAAAGGATGAAGTTTTATCCAGACAAACTGGCTAGAATGTACTTCAGAGGGAGCTGAGCCAGACCAAGGGGCAGAGTGGGAGGGTCGGGGGTTAGAGGCAATGGTCAGTGTCAGGAGGTCCCAGTGATGATGGCGAGGGCATCTCATAGGCCAAGGCCTTCACCTGGGGAGGTGAGCAGTGGGTGAGAGCCAGGCTTGGGGGCGGGGCCAGGGTGATTTCTGATCTGACACAGCCTCCAGGACCAAACTTGACCTAGCTCTGCCAGCCCCTGTTCCGGCTGCGCCCCACTCCCTGCCCGAGGTTTGATGGGCACAGATAGAGATGGCAGCCACAGCCAGGGCTGAAAGGAGCCCTCCCAGCAAAGGCTGGGGGTGGTGGAATCAGGCAAAAGTGAGAGAGTCTTCTCTGCCTTCAGGAAAACACAGGTCAGAGAGAATCTCTAATTCCTGCTGTGAAATCTTAGGAGGATGGTGCCAAGCTCTGCTGAGTTTTGCTAGAAAGGAGAGTCCAACCAGACAGTAGAGGCTGGAATAGGGGCCTGGAACAGGTGGCCATCATCTCTACCCACTCCCTCCAGCCTCTGGCTCCTGGGTACAGGGAGTCTGGGCCTGATGCTCCACTCTCATGGGAGCTCTCTACTTTGCTTTTCACTTCCCTGTTGCAGTAAAGTCAGATCACTAATATAGTGGCTTGAAAATGCAAATAAAAGAAGCCAAAAGTTGGCTGCCTTACTTTGTTTGTTTTTGAGACAAGGTCTCACTGTGTTGCCCAGGCTGGAGTGCAGTGGTGTGATCATGGCTCACTATAGCCTCAATCTCCTGGGCTCAAGTATCCTCCCTCCTCAGCCTCCTGAGTAGCTGGGATTACAGGCTCATGCCACCACACCCAGCTAAATTTTTCATTTTTTTGTAGAGATGGGATCTCATGATGTTGCCCACACTGGTCTTGAACTCTTGAGCTCAAGTGATCCTCCTGCCTTGGCCTCCAAAAGTGCTGGGATTACTGGTGTGAGGTGATGGCATGCACCTGTAATTCCAGCCACTCGGGAGGCTGAGATGGAAGGATCACTTGGGCCTGAGAGGTTGAGGCTGCAGTGAGCTAAGATTGCACCACTCCATTTCAGTCTGGGAACCAGAGCAAGACCCTGTCTTGAAAAAAAGGCGGGGAGGGGGGGAGTAAAATTTGAGCATTGGTGGTTTATGATTCCATTTATTTAAAATATTTTTAGGATAGTTGACGTTTTTATTTGATCGATGCCTACTTGTTTAATTACTGTACTCTAGTGCTTACAAATCCCAAGTCATGAGTTTTTTCATCATCTGCCCAGAGTCCTCTGCTATAATGGCAGGCACTTGTGTTTCAATTCTGAGGCTTGCGTGTCTGATTCAGTGGTTCTGTACGGTCATGGTGGGTTCTGTTTTTCTTCTCAGGCACTGGATATCATCTTGGAGAAGATGAAGGCTTCAGGCTTTGACTTCTCTCAAGTCCTAGCCTTGTCCGGGGCAGGCCAGGTTTGTTTGCAGCAGACTCTGTCTGCCATGTGAGGGTGACTGTCCTGGGCAGTGGTGCTGGTGTTGAAGAGATGGCCCCCCTTGGATGGGGAGTGGCTCATTCTTGACAGGCACTGCACAAATTTCACTGTGAATAAAAATCCCTACAACTATTTCACTTTGGAGACTGTATAACTTGTCTCATTGCAAAAGGATCTGAGACAGTTCTTAGGAGTAAGTGTTATATAAAATAGGACTCTTGGTGAGAGAACTGAGTAGAGGTCCTCTAAAGGGGATGGAGGAAGCAATTGACATGAATTTATTATGACTGCTTGGGGGCACCACAATTGCTTTTCTATTTCCTGAAAGTAAAAGCAAAGTCAAAAATGATCCTAATAATAATAGTTGTTTCAGTAGAAGGAAGAGTATTCATAATGATATCAAAGGACATTGACTGAACACTTAGTGCATGCCAGATACAACTCTGAGGCCTTTCCAGATGCCATCCAACTTAATCCTTACGATTCTACAGGGTGGTGCTGTGGAGTGCTTGGTACACACGCAGGGCATCCTGTCTGGGTTTGATCCCTGGCTCTGCCATTCACAAGCGGTGACCTGGGATGCGTCATCTGGCATTCTGGTGCCCCCGTATTGTCATCTGTCATAGGGTCATTGTGAGTGTAAGTACATAGCACAGTGCCTCCTATTAATGCACAGTAAGCATTATTAAAGCTTGGGCTTCTGCTATGATCATTAATATTTCCATGAGGCACAGAGAGGTGATGTCACTTACCCGAGATCACACCGTGCTGGGAGTGGGAGTCAGGACCCAAGTCCATCTCATCCAGTCCCTTGGTGGTGCTGGGATCACTTTTCTCCATGCTAGATTGCCGTATTTTCAAATCCTTACTAGGATGTAACTAATTTTTCTGAAGATGCTTCTTCCTCCATGACCTAACAGGAATTTATTGTTTTGGTTCTTGTTAAATACAACAGAGATTCCCTGGGTGATCTTGTTTACTTCTGTCTCCCGAATCCCAGGCCTGGACACCCATCTCCCTCCTAGATATTCCCTGACCCCGTAACTGAATATCCCACAAATGCCTCAAACTTAGCATGTCCCAGACTGAGTTCTGTCTCCCTTCAGACCTCCTCCTTTCTGGGTTCTCTTTCTCAGGGAATTCTCCCCATCCACCCAGGGCACAACTCAATTGTCATCCCTGACTCCTCCACCTTCCCACCCCACATCCAAGGGTCCTCACGTCCCACTGATTTGTCTGTGACTCTTGACTCTATCATGTCTTCTCCAGCACTACTTGCTTGTCATTCTTCTCCAGGTCTCTACCGCAGCCTCCCTGCCTCCAGCCTACCTTCCCCGTGACTCCCACAAGCCCTTCATACATTCAGCCCTGTCCACGCCACTCCCCCTGGTAATCCAGGGTTCCCACCACCTCCAAGATAAACCCCAGCCTCCTGAGCATGGTTTCAGGCACTCAGTGCTCAGGCTGTCTCCTTTCTCTTCAGCCTATCACCTACCCCCAACCCAGCCTCAGGCCCACTGCTTAGAATGCCACCCTTCCCAGGACCTGCCTGGTGCCCCTCACCTGCAGATTCTCTGCATGCAACACACACTAGGACCCTTTCCTGATACTCACGACCACTTCCACCCATCTGTACCCGAGCTGGTCAGGTGTCTGTGTTCCCACGGCCCTATCACTGCAGCTCCGTAGGGTTTTGTAATTGTACACTTGTGTCCTTTTCCCTGACTCAACTCCAAGAGCCTGAAGAACAGGGACGATAGTATCCTATTCATCTGTCCCAAGCCTGGCATGATCTATGTGCTTAATAAAGGTTCGTTGAATGAATGAATGAATGAATTAATGAGGTGAGTGAATAAATAAATGAATTTCGGGTAATATTACAAGCAATGTCTTTAAATGCAGTTTTACAAAAGGCATCAAAATCCAGACCAATAATTAGTTCTTGGACCTTTTCTATAAGTTGTAGGGTAGACAGGGCAGAGTTCCTCCCCATTTTCTTGAAATGGAAACCAAGTCTCAGGAGGGTGATGAGCTCTGTGACTAAGTGGCAGGGGCGGGTGTGGAGCCCAGTTCTTTGGCATGTGGTCTGGGATCTTTCTGTGTCTCCAGGAGGCTGTGACACCAGTGTGTGGTCATGTGAACATGTGCTTGGGTTTCCCAACAGCAACACGGAAGTATATACTGGAAGACTGGAGCCCAGCAGGCACTGACAAGCCTATCACCAGACCTCCCGCTACACCAGCAGCTGCAGGTAATTGTGACTACATTGTGTGAGTGTGAGAAACTTCTGCAGAGTCCCACGTCCTGTGGGTCCTGAAGCCTGCTCATCTCAGTGTTGCAGCTATGCTCAGGCACCCTCACCAGAAGAGCTTTCAACCTCAGGCTTTTGGGGAGAGACCGCATTGGGCCAGTTCTAGCTTACAGCACAAAGGGCTATCCCGTGTGTCTCCAACCAAGGTCACTGGGGAAGAAGCGTCACGACTGCCGTGATGGGCAGTGTGACTGCCAGCCCTGGGGCAGCTCTCCAAGTCAGCGGATGGAGCTTAAGCCTGCGCCTTTGCCCTCCTTCCCAGGACTGTTTCTCCATCAGCGACTGCCCGGTGTGGATGGACTCCAGCACCACAGCCCAGTGCCGCCAGCTGGAGGCTGCCGTGGGCGGGGCTCAGGCTCTCAGCTGCCTCACGGGGTCCCGTGCTTACGAGGTAGGCTGAGGATGGAGGGGGTGTAGGCAGTGGTCTGGTTGCAGGCTCTGGAGGCATAGTGGGTGACCTGCCTCTGTGGGGATCACATGAGGTGGTGGAGGTGTTGGCCCTGCAGAGCCAGGAACAGGCACTCTGGCCCCTGGGTCCTGATCCAGGCCACCTGCCGCCCTGTGTGTTCCCAGGCCAGGCTGGGTGTGCACATGGCTGTGCTCCTGACACGGAGGTGCTGTGCTTGGGGGTGAGGAGGGCTCCTCCTCTCATTGTCTGTAACCTGGGGATTACAACAGGACTTATGTTTTGGGTAGGTTTGAAGTTGAAAGAAGCCAGTGCATGTAAGGCACTTAGTGCAGTGCCTGGCAAAGTTAAAAAAAAAAAAAAGAATATCTCTGTTCCACTGGTTCAGCGATGTCCCCAGGGGTGATTGTGATTAGGCCAGCTTGGGTCTTATGACCCAAGTAGAAGTTTTGGGGATAGGGCCAACCCTACTTGGGCCACCTGAAATAACAGTGTGTGGATGGGGAAAATACCCCGATCCCTGCTCTGGTGCCTTGGTCAAAACAGTCACCATGCTGTGTGAAGAGCAAGGGTCATTCACTCAGTGTTGTCCGGTCCTGATGTGGGAGAGGCCCTCCAGGAAGGCCCGAAAGTTACTCACTTCTCTATCCTGTGGGTGCAGAGCCATTGTTTACTGCCTGAATATTTGATTACTAAGGACATTTTAAGGATTTAAAGGCCAAAATCCCATTGTTCAGTAGATATCAAGCAGATTTAATGCTGATTTAAAAAATATTCATTTATTAGAGATGGGGTCTCACTGTGTTGCCCACGCTGGACTCCTGGGCTCCAGAGCTCCTCCCGCTTCGGCCTCTTGAGTAGCTGGGATTACAAGCACACAGCACCATGGCCGGTTGGGGCTTACTTTTAAAAGCTTTCATGGTACCTACTCCTATACAGAGCTTGCTACAGTAAACTCACTTTATGGAGGTGATTATTCATTCTGTGTAGGATTTGGGTTCCTAAGAATTTATATTTCTTTTCCAGCGTTTTACAGGAAACCAAATTGCAAAAATTTACCAGCAGAACCCCGAGGCCTACTCACACACGGAGGTTGGTTAAATGTTCCTGTTTGATTGAAAGTCACGGTTGAATTCTTTTCATAATCCATTAGAATAGATACATCTCATGTGCAGTGACTGAAAACATTGATAAGCAGACATTAACCAATGATATATTCGATTTGCTTTTTTCTCATTGTCAGGACATTTTCAAAGAGGAGGGGAAGAATGGAATGTGGGAAAGAGAAGTCAGGGGTTCTCCTGACCAGAAGGGTGAGGGTGAAGGTCCAGGTGGGAACACTGGGGACTGACATGTTCCCGAGACCACCTGAGTAGAAGATCTGGGTGTCTGAGCAGGCTGTGTCTGCTCACTTTCCTATGTGGTTAACACAGGAGGACTACCAGGCACATGGTTGGCGTGGAGTCAGTGTTTTCTTTGGAAATGTGCAGGACTAGGCCTTTGTGTCCCCAGCTGTGGCCCTTCAGCCAGAGCCTCTGTCACAGGAACCCAGGTTCATTCCTGGCTCCACAGCTGCTGAAGCCAGCGCTTGTTGCTGCCTGAGAAACAGCCCCACACCCTGGCTAGTGATTTTCATCTTGTGATAAGGAAACGATCAGCTCATGTTAAACCAAAGCGCCTTTTTAATCTTAGAAATTAACATGTGGTGTATTATTTAATGATTCGAGGTTCCAGATTACTCTGCAGCATTAGCCATTAATGTAGGCTTTGGGTGGAGTGGTGAAAACCCTCCCTAAATTCTGTGTGTGGAGCGAAGTTGGCCTGACAGAGGACGGGGGTGATAACATTCTCTCCACAGTTCCAAAGGCCCACAAGTCTCATGCGGAAGTACAGACCCTCAGGATGGCATTGAAAATCCATCATTTATTTCTCTGGCTACTGCTCAGGGTCTGTGGCTTCTGAGGAGTCAGCTTTCCTGAAGCCCTGAGAGTGTCCTGGTTAGTTCTGAGGCCACACATCCACTTCCCTTGTGAGCAGAAGTAAATGCCAAGGAAATAGAGGAAGGAAATCCGGGCACACATTCCCCAGCATGTGGATTCTGGATGGAAAGGCAGCTTCCCTAAGCCCTTTCTCATAGGGCTTTTGGCTTTTGTCTCTTTTGACCTTGGCAGTTTTATGGCCCATCAGAAACTGTAGAGAATGAATGCTCTCCCGAGGAGTCCGCTCATGGTATTCCAGCAGCTCCTGTCTGAGATGCACAGTCTCCACCATTATTTGGGCCTTTTGCTCAAAGTTTCCACTTCCCTCTCCAATTTTTTTTCATGCTGTGTGTGTGTCAGAAGCATTCAGTAGCGCAGGGTGTGTGGAAGTGAGGCACCTCTCACTGTTTCTTTCCTTTACAGAGAATTTCTTTGGTCAGTAGCTTTGCTGCTTCCCTGTTCCTTGGGTCTTACTCCCCTATTGACTACAGCGATGGTGAGCCTCGGGGTATGGGGTGGGTGCCTGGGCAGCCTGCATGTGGCATGTGGATGTGCAGGCAGTGGGAGCCCCATCTACCCTGAGTGGGTGCCAATCTTGTAGCCCTGTCATCTATTGCCAGGAAGGAAGTGTACTCATTATCTTTTGCCACTTAACAAATGACCCCAACACTTAGCAGCTGAAGACCACCATGTTTATTTTCTCACCTAGTGTCTGAGAGTCAGGAAAGTGGGGGCAGCTTAGCTGGGAGGTACTGGCTTAGGAGCTCCCACAAGGTGGCAGTCAGGCTGGCAGCCGAGGCTGAAGTCATCTTCAGGGTCCACTGGGGCTAGAGGATCCGTTTCCAGCATCATGCACAGGACTACAGGCAAGAGGCCGCAGTTCCTCACATGTGGACCTCTTTATGGGGCCATTAGTGACATTGCAGAGAGGGAGGGAGGAGACAGAGGCCAAGCAGAAGCCGAGCAGTCTTTTATACCCTAATCTTGAAGTGATGCGCCATCACTTTTGTCTCATCTTACTGGTCACACACTAGGTACAGCTGACCCAGTATAATGTTGGGGGGAACCTCACAAGGGGTGAAGACCAGGAGGTTGGGATCAGCAGGGGCAATCATGGAGCCTGGCTCCTGCAAGGAGCTATTAAAGTTTTTGTTTCACATTTGGTGAACTCGTGAGATTTATGAGCTTCTAGACTCAAAACGCTAAAAAAAAATAAATTGCGGATGATGCCAGTGAGGGGGGAAAGCTGGGAGGAGGTTGCTGCAGGAACTCTTGGATGAGCCTAAGAGTGAGAAGAGTGTGGACAGAATGGGGGTGGAGAATGCAGGGCAGGAGCCCAGAGCCGTGGACGTGGCTTCAGAATGGAGCCCGGGATGCTCTGAGCCTCGTGGGAGTTCATGGGAAGGTTTTGAGGGCTGTTGTGTGCCAGGCTTTATTCTGGTTTCAGGGGAGAGAGTGACTAAGGAGTGCTGTTAAGCTTCCCTCACAATCCGAAGGAGGCAACAGGGTTCCCTACAGCTAGCTCCGTAGAACTCAGACAGGCAGAACAGTCAACTTGGAGTAGCCTGCATGTCCACCCGTGTTCTGCACTCCTGCCACAGGGCTGATAACCGCAGCAGCTGCTGCGGGGGGCATTCCGGAGGTTTCTGTTCCTCAGCCGCAGCTGGGCCCTCCACTCTGCTCCCCTTCACTCACCTGAGATGGCACCTCCTAATTTCACCTGGGCAGGTGACACCATCAGCATCCCAGCCCACCTCTGTCTGCCTCCACATTGGCTCAGTGGAGGAGGAGGTCTCTCCACCCATGCTCTGGGTTCCCTGTCCTTTCCCATCCTCAGGGAAGCCTTGGGAGGAGGATGTTTTAGGAAGGAGCTAATAGGTTGATCTCAGTGACCAGGAGGAAGTTTAGAGGACTCTGAGACCTTCCCTTGAAAGGTCAGATGAGATTGAGAAATCCCTGGGGGCCGACCTGGAAACCTAAGGGACATAGAGAGTGGTTACTGGTCAGTGTGTTGCTGCTAGTTCCAGGCCCCCTGGGAGGTCTCTGAGCAGCAGATTTCCAAGCTAACTGTAGTGTTTGAGTTGATGAGGAATATTTGGAGGAGGTGCGGTGCCATGTGTTTCCAAGGGCCCCTAGGGCCTCTGGTTCTCTGGTTCCAGAACAACACAAGCATACATACCTTCCATGAAGAAAGAGCTCCAGTACAAGTTGCGTCAAGAGAATTATCTGCTGTTTGCCAGATTTGTGCATTTTCACAAAAGGTCCGTTTTCAAGATGTGTCTGTTGTTTGTTTCCTTCCTTCCTCAGGTTCTGGAATGAATTTGTTGCAGATACAGGATAAAGTCTGGTCCCAGACTTGCCTTGGTGCCTGTGCACCTCATTTAGAGGAGAAGCTTGGCCCACCAGTACCCTCATGCTCAGTTGTGGTAGGTCTCCTTTCTGGCGATGTGGCTCATTTAAGAGCTGGCAGCTACCAGGGAAGCACTGTAGCGCGCACACACACACACAGACACGCACACACACACAGACACACACACACACAGACACACACACACACAAGACACCACACACACAACACCAACACACCAGACAGACCAACACACAAGACAGACACACACACACAGACACACACACACACACACAGACCACAACACAACAAACACACACACACACACACACACACACACACACACGCTGCACACTCCCTTGTTCATTCACCCACAGGCATACACATGCAGGGTCTTTGGTTTAGCCTAAGATGTAAGTCAGTGTCTGGATCAGTGCCTTGCACATAGTAGGTGCTCAGCTACATGCCTTATGGTTGGCAGGACTTTGGGAAATTCCACTAGAAATTTATTAGAATAGGGATAAAAATGGCAGGTGATTGCATAGCTAAAGAAAAAATGCACAGAGTGCTGAAATTCTAGGGACTGCTGATGAAGCTTGAAGGAGGCAGCCTTAGGGAAAACAGAAAGAAATACCAGCGGGGCTGGCACAGCACAGGCCCTGGCACTGGACAGCCTGGGACTGAATCCTGGTTCTAGCAGCTTTGTGACTTTGTGTCTCGGTTTCCTCATCTGGAACAAGGGGAATGATGCTGTTCATCTTACAGGGCTGTTGTGCAAATTAGATGAGTTAATATGTTTAAAGCACTTAAAATAGTGCCTGGTCCCACGGGTAATGGGAAAAACATTTACCCATCACGGCGGCGCCACCCATTTGCAGTGGACACCGACTATGAATGCGCTGGTGTGTCCTAGTTGGCCAGCCCTGTTCTCCATTGTCCTGTGGGCACAATGGAGTAGACAGAGAGAGAGATCTGGGTCCTGCCTCTGGGGCCCTTTGGTGGGAAATGCTTACCACAGAGCCAGAACAACCAGAAGGAACTCTGGGTGGGAGAGAATGTTGGTGTGAACAAGGGACAAGGGCACTCTGAGGCCTGGAGGGAGTCGTGTAACTGGGAGTCTTGGGCCATGTGGAGGAGGGGCTGCTGTGAGGACTTCTCATTGGGAGTCTCAGCCACAGAAGCACTTTTGTTTTCTTTTCAGAGACAGAGTCTCACCTTGTCACCCAAGTTGGAGTGCAGTGGCATGATCATAGCTCACTGCAGCCACCAACTCCTGGGCTCAAGTGATCCCCCTGCCTCAGCTTCCCGAGTAGCTGGGACCACAGGCGTGCACCACCATGCACAGTTAATTTTTTTTTTTTTTTATTTTGGTAGTGACAGAGTCTCACTATGTTGCTCAGATTGGGCAATTTTCCTGCCTCAGTCTCCCAAAGTGCTGGGATCACAGGTGTGAACCACTGCACACACCTGTATGATTCACACTGGCATGCTGAAAACAGCCTCTGCCACCATGAGGCAGAACATCAAAGCCAAACCATCAGCATCTAAAGTATGCCATGAGGCCAGTGCATGGAGCTGAAGGAAGAGCCATGTGGCCCTGTGGAAGCCGACAGTGCAGAACCCAGACAGACTGACGCCGGTCAGAAAGGCAGAGAAAGGGCAGATAGAAAACAGCCAAGCCATTGGAACTGATAATCCACACGTGGCTTTTAGTTGGATGTGAAATTCAGAGCAGGCTTTGTTTGCCTTATGCGAGAACACTTGCCTCCAAGAAGGAGCCTGTGCGGACAAGCAGCTTGAGGATCGGGAAAGAACTGACTCTGAAAAGGCATTTTCATTTGTCACATAGGTGTCACGTGTGGGTGAACCAAGCAGGACCCATGTTTTTCATCATCCCTCTTTTTGCAGGTAGTGCTCAGATAGCCCTCCCTGCACACTGTCTTTTTTGGATTACTTTCCTTAGAACATTGTTCTCTGCACTTTCACATCCAATTGTTGTTTATCCAGTCACTAGGGTGATAGAGCAAGTGTGCGAGGCATTATCTGCTCCCATGAGTTTGCTTACTGGCGTCCTGTTACCTTTTTTTTTTTTTATGCTATATCAAGAATTTGGAGCTTATAAAGCAAGCACTAGTTAGGGGTTGGTTTGTTCTCTCTACCTGAAATCTCAAGATCAGCAGTTTTTGAGATGACCTCATGCTCGTGGTTCCAAACCTGCACTGGACTTCTCTGGTGATTTGTGAACAGGAGGGGCACGCCCAGTTTGTGACAGGGAGTGGTGTGACTCCAGGCTCTGCAAAACATTCCTTCAGCTCCAGTGACCTGGAGCCTGTAGCATTTTCGTGGCCTGAAGGGTGGGTGGCTGTGCTGGGCAGGCGGGATTTACCTCAACAGAGCACCTTTGCTTTATCCCCGTCCCTCAGGGAGCCATTTCTTCCTATTACATCCAGCGCTACGGATTTCCTCCAGGATGCAAAGTGGTGGCCTTCACTGGGGACAACCCAGGTGAGTATCTCGGGGAGTTTCTCTGTCCGATGAACCTGACTGGGTCCATGCTGGACTTTTGAGAATTCCAGTCCAGCCTCTTGGTGAAGCCTTCTGTGGTCATTCCCCACCACCCCCACCCTGCGATCTGACTCCTTGTACCTGCCCCATCTCAGCTCCAACTCTGCCCTCAGGAGTTGGTCAGTCTGCTCTCTCTGGATGAAAACTGCTCAATGATTAAGGAAGGCAGTCTTGCCCACCCCATCCCTAACCTGTCTTTTCTGTTCCAAGATGAATAGCTCAATTCCTCCAACCCTTCCTCTAGGACATGTTTTAAGTCTCTGCCCTGTCATCTGATCTGCAGCAATGACTTGTTTCTCGTCCAGACACCTCATCTCCTTCCCTAGCCTCTTCTCTTCCTCCTCTTCTCCTCTGGGTAGTCCTGAAGCCACCCCTGGAGGGGCCCTCGGATCTCTGAAGGAAGGCCAGGTGGGCTGCACTAAACAACACCCTAACTACTACTCCTCAGCCCCACCCCAGGAAAAGTCTTTTTCTAACAATCCACCAGATTAGGGTTACATTTAATTCTAACTAGAAAGGTTAATTTTTAACCCTAATTAGAAAGGTTACTTTCTGTCCTTTCAGTCTTCTTTCTGTGCTCATAAATAAGCATTGTTTATTTTAATCAACCTGGGCAGTATCTTTCTCATTTTAACAGTTGTCTAGAGCTCAATTGTCCCAGCATTTATTTCACCAGTCCCTTATGGATGGAGGGTGGTGTTGCTTCAGTGTTTGGCAGTGCAAACGATGTTGAGATGCACATTCGGTCTCATCTCTTTGTTGTTACAGGATAAGTTCTCAAAGGTGGGATTCCTGGATCCAAGGCTTCTGACACACACGCTGCTGATTGAACCTCAGTGGCAGTGTTTGAGTGCACCTGTTTCTCACTCCCATTTCACCTTTACTCATATGTTCATTCACTCAGCATTTAGTGAGTGCCTATTATGTGCCAGGCCTTCCTTCAGTGCTGGGGCACTTCAGCAATCAAGGCAGATAAAGATTGCTGTTGTGAGCCAGGTGTGGTAGTGTGCACCTGTAGTCTTAGCTACTTGCAGGCTGAGGTTGGGAGGACTGCATGATCATGGAGTTCGAGGCTGCAGTGAGCTATAATCATGCCACTGCACTCCAGCCTGGGTGACCGAGAAGTAGACCCACCGTTACTATCGTCTAAAAAAGAAAAAAAAAAAAAAACAAAGGGACTTGCTGTTGTGGTGCTGGGTCTGAGGCAAGGGCACAGGACAGGTGAACATAAACTCACCCCATTCTTTCCATTTACTGCCGTGTTTTTCTCTGCTGGTGGTACCTTGTGTCTTGTTTGTGCCTCCTTTGATTCTCGGCACTCCTGGGAGATGCCTGGACAGTGGATATGTTGACCCATCAGGGAAAGAGACTTCACAGTCAAATCAGAGGCTGGCTACAGGACTTCACCCCCGGTACCCCTATGACTTCTAGGGCTCCTGAGAGGCGGTCAACTCGGCCCTGCTTTCTGCCACCACCTAGGGTGGTGTTAGGGGTTGAGGTGGGGGGCAGTGGCGCTGGCCGCGCTGGATAGCCGGTGGTTGTGTTTTTGTGGTTTTTCCCACCACTGTGGCCACCGCTAGACGCAGAAGCTCCGCCGATCCCATTCTATGGCGGTGTGGCAGGGGCATGAGACTGGAGGAATGGTGACATTGGGTAAGGCGAGCTTCCCACACCAAGGCTCTTTCTGTTTCCAGTGCACATCCAGCACTCTGACTAAGTGGCAGGAGAGTACTGCTGGGACCCAGACCCTGAAGGCACCAGGATGGGGTCGCCTGTATATCAGAGTGGGTCTGACATGTTTCAGAAGACAGTGGAGGAGGGGATGGGGTGCGCACAGTCTTTCAGAAAGTCATTGTGTTTTTGCTGGATGGGGCAGAGCCCCTGCTTGCTGCGTTCACAGTGGCCAGTTTAGTGCGTGCGGGCAGAGGGTCAGACCTGGGGCAAAGGCTGTGAGCGAGCCCAGATGATAAGGTAAGACATAGCCCAGGCCTTCCGTACTTTATGGAAAGCAGTGCGGAACAGCATCACCCAAACTGATTTATTTGAGATGCAGTTGTGGGAAATCAGCGCAGGAAGGGTGTCTAATGAAATGTGCATCCGGGGAGTAGACTCTGGCCAGGTTGGTGTGAGGGTCAGATGTGCTTCTGAGAAAGTGGCATTGGAATCTGGAGGTCTTGCAGCGGTGAGTAAAGTGACAGGGTTGAAGGTGGGGTGGGAGTACAGGCGTAGCATGGCGAGGCAGTGTGGTGTGGGCAAACGCCCAGGCGCCACCTCGGTGCGCCGATACGTCTCCCCAGGTCAGCGTGGGAACCAGTGAGCACCTTGTTTCTTCTGGGTCCAGAACCAGGTGCTGCCCTGGAAGGCCAGCTCTTCTGGCAACCCTGGTGACTGCTCAGCAGCTAGCATGGCACTCCTGTGAGTGAGGCCTGGGTGGTGGTTGGCACCATTCCCTGGGTGGGGAGGTGTGAGCAGATCTGGCACGCAGTCTTGAGGACCCTAAGTCCTTCCACTAAGCTCTGGAATGACTCCCTCCACTTTCCCAGGCTCTGCTGGGCAGCTGAGACCCCCAAGGACTCACCGACTCTTGCTGACAGCAGAGCCGGGTGAGGAATAACCCAAGACCCTGAGTCCCTCAAGCCCGGGTTCAAATCCTATCCTCACCACCTATATCCTGTGTGACCTTAGGCAAACTCTGTAGTGTGGCATGTCTGAGCCACACTTTCCTCATGAGATGGGGAGGGCAAGAGCATTTACCGCACATTGTTGCTGTGACCTGTCCGGCATGTGGTGGACCCTCATAGCGGAAAGGACATCCTGCTTCCCAACAGCTCTCATGGAAGGGACATGCTGTGTGCTCTGACCACAGGCCTTTGGAGACCCGTCCAGAGCTCCTGAGGGAAATGGTTTCTGAGCTCCTAAGCCCTGAGAAGCGCTGGAGAATGTGGCTAGTTAATCTAGCCCACCCTGCCTCATTGTGCCCATGGTAGAATGTGCAGAAACCGGAGCTCCCTGTCTCTACCTGGGGCTCCTCTGTGTCAGCCTCCTGTGTAAACAGCCTAAGATAAGGGCATTTCCGGTGCCTCCCAGGGACGTTCAGGGGCCTGGAATCTGAGGAAGCGCCTCTGATACCTAAGTTTCAGAGCCTGCTGTGCACTGACTAGGGCTTGTGGTCCAGCCTGACCTGCAGTTCCTCTGCCTGGGTCTCTTTACTGAAACTCATGGGTCCAGTGAGCAAGCACTGGCTCCTTCCTCAGAGCTATACTCTCTTCTGCAGCTTTAAAAATGGCTCCCTCATGAGAGAGAAGATCCGCGACAAGTCCGCGTCCCGTTCCTGGAGCAAGTTCTCTAAGGCACTGCAGTCCACAGAGATGGGCAACGGTGGAAACCTGGGTAGGCCAGTTGGTGATGCCCAAGCCTGTGAAGGGTCAGCAGCTGCCGGCTGGAGGGGCAGGGCCTGGGGCCCCATGAGCTGGGGGAGAGGAGGGCCGTGGAGAAGTCCAGGGGAGCGCTGTCTGTCTGCACTTCTATTCCACAGATCCTACAAGCTGGTGTGGAACCCTGTGTTCTGAGCGAGGGTGGGCCTGTAAGGCTGTCCTTGGCTTCTGCTCTGAGCAGAAGATCAGACCATAGCTACATCTTCTGTCCCCACCAAGCCCCTGATGACAGCATCAGAGAGGGCAGCCTCTGCCCTGGTATATCCCCGTTCTCAGCCCTCTGCCCCAGGCACAAGGAAAAGTGCCCAGTGTCTCAGAAGGCCTGAGCAGGGAGGGGCTGTGCCTCCCTTGGTCAAACGTGTGTTGGTATTTTAGGATTGACTGGGCAGCTGCTTCCTGTTCAAGGCTGCCAAGTGAGAGCAGGAAGAGTTGTCTCTGAGAAAAGCTAGCTCAGGGCTCCCTGGTTCCCTTCTATCCTGTTGGAGAGAAGAACTGAGAATATTCGCAGGTCTCATCTGGGGGATGAAAGAGAGCCAGGGGACCCGGGGATATGGGGTCATTTTGCCCTGTTCTACGTCTGTTGAGAGGCCGATCTTTTGTTCTTTGACTAATGACAGCTGATGTCTTCCTGGTTTTATGTCAGGTTTTTATTTTGATGTAATGGAGATCACCCCTGAAATTATTGGATGTCATAGGTTTAACGCAGAAAACCACAAGGTACGTGTGCCGTTGGTATTGGAGTTACACTGGCTCCATTTGTGAGTGTAAAATTTAACAATTGCCCATGAAATTGTGTGACTTTTAGGGACTTCATTCATTCACTCATCCGTTGATATCATACACACTTGTGGTGTGCCAGCGTGCATTCTAGATCCTGGGGAATCTGCAGGACACGGTCCTTTCCCTCAGGGAGGAATGCAGAAACCCTGAGAGTTCTCTTCCAATTTAGCAAATGCTAACACTATCATTGAGTATCACAGAGCTTATTTCCTTGGCGAGTTTTATCCTGTACCCATCAAGAACCCATGGATCTCGAGATCATTAATTTCCTCGTGGTTGAAAGAGCCACTGAGCCCGGGAGGTTCTAACATTTATTGAGCCCATTTGGTGCCAGGCATTGTGCTCATGGTTTTCTGTACCTTCCTCATTTACTTTTCTTTATTTTTTTTATTTTTTTTTATTTTTTTGAGATGGAGTCTCACTCTGTTGCCCAGGCTCGAGTGCAGTGGGACGATCTTGGCTCCCTGCAACCCCCACATCCTGGGTTCAAGTGATCCTCCTGCCTCAGCCTCCTGAGTAGCTGGGATTACAGACTCAAGCCACCACGCCCAGCTAATTTTTGTATTTTTAGTAGAGAGGGGTTTCTCCATGTTGGCCAGACTGCTCTTGAACTCCTGACCTCAAGTGATACGCCCCCTCCCAAAATGCTGGGATTATAGGTGTGAGCCACCATGCCTGGCTATCATTTACTTTTCAAAGCAATAGGCACTATTGTTCCTCTTTCTAGATAGAGAGGTTGAGACTCAGAGGCTCAGGCTAAATAATCTGGACAGAGTCACAGGTCATAGGTGGTGGAGGGGGCTCAAATCCAGTCCTCTCTGGCTCTGAAGCTGCTGTTTTCTTTCTCCTCCACAATGTGACCTTTCCCAGGAAGGATTTAGTTGGTTCTTGCTGCTCGAAATTGACATTGCTGTTAGTCACTGGAGAGTCATCACCACATTTTGGGTTGTACCTGAGAGACGTTTCTGACCCCAGTAAATGGGGAGTTTATGTAAGACACTCTGTCTGGAAACTGTAACTGTCCGAGTTGGCATTGGATTCAATGGCAGATGATGGCACTACATGTTGGATTATGAACGGAAAGCTTTGTGTAAAGGAGGAAGTTCATTTCAATCTTCTGATGGAGAATCAGTTTGGTTTCTTTTATTAGAGGGAGAAGTTATGCCTGTTCTTTCATGCATATCAATCCTAGATTTGTCAAGGAGAAAGTAGTGTTCTTCATTCATTCATTCAACCAACAGATATGTATGATTGGTGCCAGGCACCTGGGACACAAAGGAGAACAAGACATCGGTGGCCCTTGCTCTCTAGAGCCTGCTGTCTAGGAGGGAGAGGGACAGTAGACGAGTGAATGAGCACGTACATGAATGCAGCAGGTGCTAAGGCTGGGAAGCAGAAGAACAGAGTGCTGCAAGGGAAAGCAGCTGGTGGGTGGGCTGGAGACTTACCCTGGGTGGGGTGATCGGGCCTGGGCCTCTCTGAGAAGGTGGCCTTTAGGTTGAGACCTGAAAGTACTCAGGATCTCACCATGGAAAGAGTAGGATAGACTTCCAGGCAGAGGGAGCAGCTTGGGAACTAGAAGAAGGTTGGTAAGATTAGAGTGTAGCTGTTCGTGAGGGGGATGGCGGCAGGTTCTAGCATTGGTCTCAGGTGCCAAAGAAGCAGGGGTGAGCCTGGGGTTGATTCCCATCAGTGCTAGCTTGAAGGACATGCCACAGGGGTGGGATCTCAGCGTAAGCTCGTGGCTGTCACTTATCTAGTATGTACTGCATTTTCCAGGCTCTGTTGTCTAATCTGATCATTGCAACAACCCTAAAAAACAGGCATTATCTCCATTTTGTTCAGAAAAAGAATGATAGCAAGACTAATGTAACTTATTAAAGATTGCAGAGCTGAATGGTAGACAGAACTTGATCTCTCAGCTGCCTGAGACTAAATTCTGTAATGTCTCTGACTCTTCAAAGTGACATGCATGTGAGGCTGTGGGCTTGTGTGCTTCAGTAGTGTGTTTGTGTGAGTGTGTGTGACAGGCAAAGACAGTGGTTAAAGAGCCCAGCTATGAGTTTCAAATCTGGGCTATTGTTTAAAAAGATCACACACAGACACACACACTCGCACACACAGACACACACACACAAACACAAACACACACACACACACACACACGGACAATGAGAGTTCCTTACTCTGTGCCCACCTTTTCCTGGAGACAGGTCGCAGCATTCCCTGGGGATGTGGAGGTTCGAGCACTGATTGAAGGACAATTCATGGCCAAGAGGATTCACGCAGAAGGCTTGGGCTATCGAGTCAGTAAGTGAGCCACTGGCAGCATGTGTCCCGGGGTGGGGGCTCAGGGCCAGCTCACACCTGGGGGCCAGGGTTAGTGGGTCAATGTCTACTGAAGTTTTCTTTCAGGGGGCTTGTGCAGGAGGGAGGTGGAGCCTGATCTTGGGGATGGGATGAGAAAGTGTGTCAGTGGGCACCTGTAGGCAGGCATAGAATAGCAGGTAGGTTGTACCTGCTTCTGGCTGTGTCCACAATAGCTTGACCTTTTGACCAGGACCTGTAGGACCTGGGAAAGGTCTTTCTGTAACCCTAAGCTCCAAGCTGCAGATGAGCTGTTTTGAGCTCTGGACTCCAAAGTCATAGGCGGTGCAAGGTCTGGGGACATGAGTGGATCTTGTCCTTCTAGCCTAGCCAGGTTCCATTGCCTGTGGGACACCGTCTGTGTCTTTCAGCTTGGACAGGGAAGAGGGGGATGTAGTATCACTGTCAAAACTCAGAAGACTGATATCTCAGTTCATTTTCTGTTGCCTATAACAGAATACCTGATCCTAGGTAATTTATAAGGAAAAGGAATTTATTTCTTACAATTATGGAGGCTGAGAAGTCCAAGGTTGAGGGATCATATCTGTTGAGGGCTTGCTTGCTAGTAGAGCTCTCTGCAGAGTCCTGAGGAGGTAGAGGGCATCACATGGTGAGGGAACTGAGTGTGCTAGCTCAAGTCTCCCTTCCTCTTCTCAGAAAGCCACCAGTCCCATTCCCACAATAACCCGTTAATCCGTTAACCTGTTAATCTGTTTACCCATGAATGGATTAATCCACTCATAAAGCCCTCATAACCCAATCTCCTTAAAGGCCCCATCTTTCAATATGTCATATTGGAGATAAAGCTTCAACATGAGTTTTGGAGGGGACACATATTCAAACCATGGCAACTGGCATGGAGAGGGCAGACCCGGGGCTGGGGGAGGCAAAAGGAGGAGAAAGGGATTTCTGAGAACTTGAGCTGTAGAATAATCAGCTTTAGGGGGTCAGTGAGTTCCCTTTACAGGCGGCGTTGAAATGGTCTAGGGGTCTGTAAGGAGGTTGGACTGGCCACCTATAAAGTCCAGGTTTCTAAGATGTATTTGTCCCTCTGGCCTATAGCTGTTGTCACTAGAGAAGAGAGTGAAGCTGCTTTGCTTGAGGGCCTTCCTATGACACTTTATGGACAATCCAAGTTCTATGTAATATATATTTTATACCTTTGAATTGACAGAGTAAAATGATACTATAAAAATACCCATTAGGGAAACCTCCTGGAAAGCCTGTTAGACAGCATCTACTAAAGCTGAATATACGTCTAGCCAGCAATCTCACTTCTAAGTAAAGGCACAACAGGAATTTGTGCATGTGTTTACTAAAGATGTACAGGAGAACATTCATTGCAGCACTATGCTGAATAGCCCCACAGTGGAAGTGGCCCAGTGCCCATTAATAGTAGACAGGAAAAATGCATTGTGGTGCATTTGTACAACAGGATACTACACACAAATGAAAATGAACCAGCCTCAGTGATATACAATGAAATGGGTGAATCTCACCAAATGTAACACTGAACAAAAGAAGCCAAACACGGACATACATATGGCAGGATTCTCTGTACATCCAAGTTCAAAAGCAGATGAAACTACAGGCCAGGCACAGTGGCTCACACCTGTAATCCCAGCATTTTGGGAGGCCGAGGCAGGTAGATCACTTGAGTCCGGGAGTTCAAGACCAGACTGGGCAACATGGTGAAACCTCATCTGTACAAAAAAATACAAAAATTAGCCAGGCGTGGTAGGCCATGCCCGTAGTCCTGGCTACTCAGGAGACTGAGGTGGGAGGATCGCTTAAGCCTAGGAGGTTGAGGCTGCAATGAGCCATGAGACCCTGTCTCAAAAAAAAATTTAAAAAGCAGACGAAACTATTTACTGTTATTGGAAGTTGGGATAATTAGTAGTTGCCCTTCAGAAGGGGCCTGTGAGGTGCTGGTGATGTTCTGTTTCACGTTCCATGGGTGTGTTTAGTTTGTAAAAATTTATGAAGATTATAGGCTTATGATGTGTGCATTTTTCAGGATGTGTGTTCTAGGTCAATACAATATTTTAAAATATGTAAAATTACCACCATGAGCATTCCGAATGCCCTCATCCCACCACCCTAAGTGTAAAAAGACATTTCCCAAAGGTCTGCAAAGACTTCCAAGTTCCCTGAAAATGAGACTGGGTGAGCAGGGCAGGGATGGTGCTGGAGTTGGTGGAGTGCCTGGCAGGGGTCCTCTGGCTCTCAGAAGGGGAGCCCAGGGAAGGGAACAGCCCAGCATACAGGGAGAAGCAGTTAGGTAGAAGGCCCCCATGGGCTCAGGAGGAGCTGATGGGATTGTGGCATTATTCCCAGCCTCTAAAGCATTTCTTGTGCAAAACAGCATAGAGTTACTTACCCTCTTAGCAAGCTTAAATGCAGAATCAGACCTGTCTTGCCCGCTCTGCTGAGTGATCACTGAAATAGATACTTGGAACCAACAGAGGTTGCACACACGCGAGGACTCATTCTCCAGGCCGCCATGTGGACTGGCCAGCTCTGGTTTTCATTCTTGCCCAGTCCATCATTCTTTCATTTGTTTTAATAGTGTCTAAGGGGAATAAAGATGAGGCACCTTTGAATTAAAAATTGATCTATTGTTGATATAACGGCTGCCAGCATTGTTGGCACTAACGTTTTGTGGCTGGGCCCAGTTCCTTAGCAATTAATCTGTTTTTTTGTTCTTTTTGAGAAGTGAGTCTTGGCTCTGTCACCCCAGGTGGAGTGCAGTGCGTGCGGATATCTGGCTCGCTTGCAGCTGCCACCCTCCTAAGGTTCCACGCATCTCCCTGCCCTCAGCCTCCCTCGAGTAGCTGGGACTACAGGGGCCTTGGCCACCACAACCGGGCTAATTTTGGTTTGTTTGGGGTTTTTTTTTTGGTTAGAAGACGGGTTTACGCTTGTTGTACGCCAGGATGGTTCTCCATCTGCCTGACCGTAGGTGATTCCGGCCACCTTGACTCTCCAAAGTGCTGGATTATCTAGGCCGTGGAAACACAGCAACCTGGCCAGCCAGTATTAATCTTTATTAAACAACAGTACCTTCCTGAAGTAGTACTGGATATGATTCCCATTCCAACCAAGGAAACCTAATCTTGCAGTTAAATAACTTTGGTCAGTACTGCAGTAGCTTGTGAATTCTCAACCAAAGGCCCATTCTGGCTCCAGATGCTGGATTTCTCTAAACCACTGGCTGAACTCTGCTTTTTTAAGGACA